ATTCGATAACTGCTGAAGACGTTTTAACGATCTTACTAAAAGCGGATGGTAGTGGATGGGACCCCAGTACGAAGGACTTAAAACAAGAAACATTCTATCCTCTTTTCCGACAAAACATAGAATACAGAGATTTTTTCCATGTTAGGAAACCCGACTGAGTGAAGCTGGAGATTCTGATCGCTTAGTAGATTGAATACCGGTAGTGAAATTAGAGAACACTATGCCTCCTCCACTAACAAAAGCCAGTAAGAAGCAACCTCTGAAAGAGTAGACCTTCTCGAAAACGATATTCGCGTCTGTAAGAAAAAAATTATTCGCTTCTGTCGCGCGCATTACCTGCTAGAGAATCAGAATTCTAAACATCTTTACCATGCTGATAGACACTTATGTTGAGTTCATTATGCCAATATTTTGAAAACTGACACCCAAAATTCTCTCCGCCTCTCCTAGACACGCATACGAGACAGTCTCACAGACCGAGTGTCTTTCGACGAGTACAGCAAATCAACTTGTACAGTGTACAACAAAAGACTTAATACACGAACCTGATTATATGGCAGTGAACGCGCCAAAGCATGCAAATGCGCCAATATTGTAGTTGCACATCACAGACCTGCTGCCGCAATCACAACACAAATTTGTCATTACACAGAAAGAAGGCATCATAAGAGTCAATAGACATCAGACGCTACTTAATAGACATCACAGAAGGAAGGCTCACTTGCCAAGACAAACACCCATAAATACATACATACACGTACATATACATACAAATTTATTTATAGATAAATGCCTGGTGGCAGATCCACAACCACATACTGTGGTAGTTGACAAATCGTTGGCTCATGGTATGCAAATTGTTCGCTAGTCCGACGCGAGGTAAACAAACAAACCAGCAACAGCTGCTACTGCGAATTTTAGTCACCGCAAAAGAAAAATGGAAGAAATAAAATTAAATAAATATTGCATAGAAACAAAAAAAAAAACTTCACACATTCACATCATAACAACAACGTAAACAATGAATTTTATTGTGCATCACAAAAACAAATTTGCAATGTGCTCGTGCGCATGCGCATGTGCACCGTCTGTGTCAAATTCGATTAATGTCACACAGAGCACAACACTAACTAACTACGCTGACTGAGAGCGAACGAGAAGCGCACACAAACAGTTAAATTTACAGCTAACATAAAAAACAGCATCATCTCGTTTCGTGGGACCTGCGAATAGATGGTGGCTGTAGACGATGGTGGGCCACCATCGCCATCAACATCAGCGGCAAATGCCACCGTCACCGTTACCGTCACCGCCGAAGCTCTCAGTCTGTGCCGACTATTATTATGACTATTTTGTCTGAAGCGCACACGGTCATTGCTGCCACTTTGTCAGCATCACTTTCGATTTTTTCCACAGCAGCGGTGCGGCAACAATTCAAATAGTCGGAGCTTGTGGACTTGTAGTTCTCTTTTATTTTGATTACTTTTTGGCCGGTTCGAAAATATGTGCTGCACATCGAGTTGACAGCAGTAGCGACAACAATTCACCAATAATATTTCGTCATAATTACATTTTGGCATTGATCGCCAGTCGGAGCACAGAGGAATGCATTGTTCGCTGTTTTGGGGTAGTAATTGTTGTCTGTGAAGTAATATTTGTACGTTGTATTTCAAGAAAGTCAGTTTTTAATTTAATTTTAGATGAATCGAATAAGCAGATATAGAGTACATTATATAATATTATCTAATTAATTTTGTTTCATTGAAACTTTATTTTTTATTCTTTTATTTTATCATTTTATTTTTATTTTATTTAAATTATGTTAATTTATTTTATCTTATTTTATGTTATTTAATTTATTCTATTTTATGTTATTTTTATTTTATTTTATTTTATTTTATTTTATTTTATTTATTCTATTTTATGTTATTTTTATTTTATTTTATTTTATTTTATTTTATTTTATTTTAATTTATTTTATTTTATTTTATTTTATTTTATCTAATTTATTTTATTTTTTAATCTGTTAATTTTTTTATTTATTTTATTTTTTTACTTAATTTATTTCATTGAATTGAATTACATTTTTTTATTTAAATTTATTTTTATTTCATTTCATTTTTCTTTCACAATTTTTTAAGTTTAATTTATTTCCTTTTTCATTTAGTTTATTTTTTTTTTTAATTATTTTTATTTTTATTGAATTTGATTGTATTTAATTTTATTGTATTCTTTTACTTTATTTTATTTCATTTTTTTTTAATTAATTCATTTTATTTTATTTTATTTATATTGAAAATATTTTTATGTTTTTTATTTTTTGTTAATTTAAATTATTTTAATTGAATTTAGTTATATTATATTTTATTTTAATTTTTTTTTTAATTAAATATAGTTTATTATATTTTAATTTTATTTTATTTGTGTCTAATTTTTTAAATTATTTAATTTTTATTTCATTTTACTTAAATATTTAAGTTTATTTTTAGTTCATATTTATTTTATTTAATTTAAATTTTTTTATTATTTACCCTTATTTTGTTTGTGTTATTTTATTTCATTGTATTCATACCTGTTAATGGTTAGTCCCTATCAGTAAAGCGAAAGGAAACCCAGACAACCCATCACTTTATTGCTTGACACCGGAAAACTCCTAGAAATTTCGCTTAAACCGGGACTAGAAATAGCTATCACCGCCGATGGTGAGTTCTCACTAAATCAAATTATTTTTTCAGGCTTGAAGATTAAAGCTAGGTGTATCTGAAAATGTTCTCAAGAGTGTCAAAGAAGTACAAAGATGAATAAACAAATTTAAGTACACTGAACGTATTTTCAACATAGCCAAATGGAAGGACCTGATTGAAGCTTTGGATAAAAAATTCACCACATCCACCTATCTAAGCCTACTGATTAAGAGCTACATAAGGCACAAAGTCCTACTATATACTACAACAGACCGTCCGCGAAAACTCAAAGTTATGTCAAGAGGATCGCAAGGTTCTAATCTCGGTCCAGAACTCTGAGACGTCAGCTGTGTGTGCGCATTGCCACCATAATTATTGCACGCGATATAAAAATCGGCAGCGAAATCAGATAATGCTAAGACCACTAACCACTTGATTCGAGCAGTCTTAGACATATGTACACATCCTCCAATATCCTGAGTACCGACTCAGGGAGAGAGGAAGCTTTTGATGTCGACAACCCAAAGCATTTTACTATAAGGAGCAGAGCTCTGGCCGGACTCATTTAAGTAGGCCAGCCGACGAAAGATATTAACCAAAGTGTACCACACAAGAGCTTTGAGGGCAGCAAAGGCATACAGCAGCATTAATAAGCGGATGCATTCCCAATGATTTCGGGGTATCCGAAAAGAAAAGAAACTAGTCACTCAGAAAAATCACGGCTCAATGAAGCGTCGTCTGTAGCGGAAGCCAGAATATAAGAAATGAAATCCTACACCCTCTAAAAGTTATATAACCATGGCCGTTGAACGGGCAGGCTAATAACAGATTTCGAATTGTGGAAAATGTTCCTGTAAAATAAAATAGGAGAGCCCGAGTATCCGTGTTGTATCTACAATCACGCCGAGCACATATTACTTAAAGGCACACGCTGGTAAACTGAGCGTAATTGGCTCTAAAAATGTTTGAAGTACTGATTTGAGACAGTTTCATTTCAGTTATACTCTATGGTAATGCTCTTCTCCCCCGCAAAAAATGTAATTTTATTTAACATAATTTAATTAAAATTTCTAATTTGTTTTGTTTAAATTTTTTTCTTTTGCTACTAATTTAATTTTATTTAAATTTATTTTACTTTATTTCATTAATATATTTTTATTATTTAACTTAGTTTTTGTTAGATTTAATTTATGTATTTCTTATTTTCATTTTATTTTACTTCCTTTAATTTTTTTTTAATTTATTTTGATGTTTTTCATTTTATTATGTTTTATTTTGTTTATTTTTCGTCTTATTTCTTACTTTTATGCCTATTTAATTTAATTTAATATATTTAATTTTTACTTTACCGTATTTAGTTTAACTTATTTTATATTATTTTGGTTTTGTTTTTTATTATGTTTTATTTAATTTTGTGTTTTTTGTCTATATTTCGATTTTACTTACATTTGAATTATTTTATTATTTAGTTAAATTCTCATTTATTTTGTCTTGTTCTCATTGTATATAGTATATTAATTTATTTTATTTTATTTTTATTTTTATTTTTATTTTTATTTTCATTTTTATTTAATTTTATTTTATTTTACTTCTTTTTAATACATTTTTTTATTTTATTTAAAAAAAAATTATTTTGATCTATTTTATTTTATTATGTTTTATTTTTTCATATTTTTGTGCTCATTTAATTCAATTTATTTTATTTTGGTTTTATTTTTTATTATGTTTTATTTCACTTTGTGTGTTTTGTCTATTTTTTTGATTTTACGTACATTTGAATTATTTTTTTATTAAGTTAAATTATAACTTATTTTGTCTTGTTCTCACTGTATATAGTATATTAATTTATTTTATTTTATTTTTATTTTCAATTTTATTTAATATTATTTAATTTAACTTCTTTTTAATACATTTTTTTATTTTATTTAAAAAAAAATTATTTTGATCTATTTTATTTATTTTATTTTTATTTTTATTTAATTTTAATTTAATCTAATTTTATTTTTATTTTTTTATTTTGTTTGATTTTTTTGCGTTTGTACTCATTTTATATATTTTGTTATTTAGTTTGATTTTATTTGATTTATCTTGGCTTATATTTTCTTTATTCTATTTAAATCAATTAATTCTTTTGCCATGTAATTCTATTTGTTTTGCTATAATTCCATTGAATTTGATTAATTTATTATATTTATTTATTTGGATTAATTTAATTTAATTCCAGTTCGTTTAATTTAAGTTTAACATTTTATAGTTAATTTTTTTAATTTTCAATATTTTTTTTTTAATTTTCTTTTACCCGTTCTACGTACATACCCACACCATTTATTGGCTCATTTAAAATCGCATTAGTCTTTTCATCTTTGATGTTGTTGTCCGCCACCGATATCGTCGCGATTGCCGCTTGGCTTTCGTCTTGTTGTATTTGTTGTTGCGTTTGCTGTAGGTTTGCCTCCTGCTGCGCGTTGCTCGTTGCTTGCGCGTACGCCACATTTACGCCGGTGTGCAGGAAGCATAAACCAATGCATATCGTAACAAAATTGAATTTGTTGCGATCGGTAATCATTGCTGTCAGGGGATCTGTAATGGAACAAATTGAAAAATTATTGCCGACTTTATGAAAGAGGAGTATAAGAAATAGATATTCAAATGAAGAAACTAATTAAATTTCAATATTTAATTGTTGGAATGAATAAAATAAATGAAATAAAATATAGTAAATAATAATAATAATTGAAAGCATTTCTCTGAAACTGCCGGCCTACGCCTCGCCCACTGCTAATAATCCTTCAGCCCTTTACGAAGGGTTAAGTGTAAAACTCGAGGCTGCAAAGGCTACCTTAATGTCTTTGAAGCATCCAATTCCACACTTTATCCTTAATGAAGTGCTGAAGGCTTTTGGGTACTGGGCGCGGCGTAAGCCTACACTACGTTTTTACCTCACAATTTCTCTTGATTTTAAGATCTTACGCACTTTGATAGACAAAATTTCATTAAATAGTTTTGGGTTCGATTTGTTTCATGACACCGTTTTAAAGTAATGGATTGAGAGATCTTTATGTGGTTAGGGATAATAGGTAACTTGCAATCCCAGCCTCTGCCAACCACTTGGAACACTCAATTCCACAAATCAATTTCTCCAAACTCATCACTCTGCACTCGTGAATATCTCGCAAGTCTTTATTTCCTCTTCACACTGGGCTAAATGTGCGTTTAAAATTGATTACATCTTTACAACTTAGCCGACTTTACCAAGCAACACGTCGCGGTACAGCACGGCGCAGAGTACACTACGTCCAAGTATATGCCAGGGTACATACGCGTACACATATAAAAGGAACTGCCCACTTTTTATGAAAACCAACTGTGGGGCGCCGACTATCAACCTACTTCTTCCGCAGACTTACTGACACTCTGCCGAATCGTATGGGCTTAAAGTACTCACCACATGCCGCCACACAACATCTTATCGCTAAAGAACATACATATCATACATATATACATTTTTCTGCAAATCTTGTCAGGGCGCAACATGTATGACAACTTTATTAAAATTTATTACGATATCAAGAGTTACACGAAAGGGCGGACAAAGGCGGCAGCAGCAACAGCAACAGAACCAAAATAAACCAACCATGCTCCAGTAGAGCTGCAGACACACGTCACGTGTACATTCGAGCTCGCCGTGTGGTGTAGAAGATTTAGTGGACTAGTGGACCAGCGAATACTCACGGTTGGTGTGCCACACACATTTAACGAAGATGCGTATCTCATTTTGATTTTCTCATTTATTGCGTTAAATTACAAGTAAATATTATAATCAGTTTGCCATTGCATTGGGCCAGTTCGGGTTATGTGCTTTTGGAGGCGGTAGGTCTGTGAAGGAAAAATAAAGATGTGCCAAAAAAGGAATATACTGAAGAAAACAAAAAACTTGGGGGAGAAAATTAATGCGATTTCGCATTGAAAGAGACCGCAAATAGCCGCGTCGTGAGAACGGATTGCTGCTTGTTGGTGAATATCAACATTGTTGGTGGCGCTTGAAACATTAAGTCGGCTTATTTTGGTTTAACTTCTTTACGGCTGAGTTTATTTTTGCCCAGTAAGCAATTTTGAGCTGGTTATATAGACATATATATGTAGATATGAATTTACTGGGTTTAATACCAGGTGCTTTGCAACCGGTTTTCCAAGAAATGGTGGGATCTACAGTTCATACTAAGCTGACTCCGAATGGCTGATGGATTTTTATGAAGAACTTTTTTTTACCTTCAAAGGAAGGAAGTGAAGGCGTTAATTAAATGAAATCAAACTTCGAAGGATATTAGGTTAGGTTGGAGTGGCTTCACTTAACATAGGCCTAAATTAGATATCGCTATCCCACCACTTTGATTCTTTGATAAAGTTCTCTAGCCGTCATTAAGAAAGCTAGCCTCGAGCTATGAGCAAGATCTAAAGTCTAGAGCAGGGCTGTCACATGACAGAAGAGCGATCGTTTGTTTTTATCTCTTTCCAACCCTTCTGATTTGCTTCTTTTGCCATTGTGTTGTCCCCTCTGACCTTAGCCTATTTCAGACGGGTTTCACCCATTAGATTAAAATTCCTTAAATACCAGCTTGAATGTGGCCATTTTTTTTGGAAAGAATCTGCCTCAAAGTTTACCTCGATTATCCTATGAACAGATGTGGCAGTCAATAAAGAGATCGGTCGCATGTGCGCTGAAAAAGCAACACCATCGACTCCCTCCTCGTCTTTGGATACGCTAGAAGTGTGATAGCTAGTTGGTTAATTGTTGTTTTGTAAGCTCAAACCCATGATCAAGTGCATTTAGGTGTCATGGGGTCCATTGCGATGCTATTATTGAGCATCTGAAATATACTCTTCTCACCTTCGTTTATGCTGAAACTATTCAGTGCGTTTTATGAAACCTTAAAGATTCCTGAAACCTTCTCAAGCTAACTCTGTATGACATATTAAGTAAAAATTTCCGAGCAAGCTATGTTGGGTCCCAGGCAATGCTTTATCGTTTTCTGCTTATTATCGTTTATCTATCCCGAGAGAGAGCCCTGGTTCACCCGGAGGTAGCCAAGTAAATTGATGAATTTTCCTTTGCTGAAATCTAGTACTTTAGACGGACAAATTTCGGACCCGGATGAAATCTATAACCATCAACACGTCAACGTTGTTTCGATGCGGATTGTGGGAAGGCGTTCATTTATTGGGAGGACTTTCCCGCCACGAGTTCAATACAAAATTTGGAATCCTTTATATAGCCGGCTCTTTTATTATGAGAGCATCAACCACTAGTGATTCTTAATTGATAAGGATTTGCTTTACTTTTCATTAGAGATGGTTTCTACCTGGATCGTCCCAAACCAGGACAACTCGTTACCCAAGTAGTTGGGTGAATTAGAATATATTTTTATAATTTGAGCCGCTTCCTTTCGAAACACTTAAGCCGGATATTTCGGAGTGGCTCTTTACCGCATCACTCACACGAACTGCTCACGGTTCCAGAGGATGCGACAAGGGTGTATTGAAATCAACTGTGGATCAACCTTATTGCATGATCGTACACACTCCGTCAGCACATTTCATTTCGCCGTTCCAGTTTGAGTCATAAAAACATAAGTTCTGTTCGCTGGGTTGTCTTTGCAACATCTTTATTCCTCTGACCATGCAATAGTAAATTCGTGCACTTCATTTGTTATGTACACACATCCAGGTAGGCTTGCATTGGCTCTGCTCGCTGTCAAGTCATTTCAACGAACAATTCATTCTGTTTCCTGCTCCAAAATATTTTTGTTTTATTTATCTCTTTTTATTCCTTTTTTGTGCCGTTTTCTTCTTCACCCACATTGTGTGTGGTTTTGTGTGAACTTTCGGTGTTGCTTTTTGTGGTAAATTCACTTTTCAATATTACCACATGCATACATATGTACGAGTATGTGTATTTAAGTATGTGTGGGCTGCTTTTTTCTACTTATTTTGTTGTCCTCTTTTAACATGAATTTTTAATCAAGATCAAGTGTGGTCAGCGCATGTCCTTAGGGGCCGCATGTATTTATGTACATGAGCTGACGTGGCGCCATTCGGTAATGCAAATGTATGATCGAAGCGAATTTTCAACATGGAGGAAATTGCCCTTTGGGAAAGTTCAGAGGGTTCGAATTACGCACAAACCTCATACTGTATGAGCAGCAGTTTTAGAGTAGGAATGTGACTCCTTTCGCAGTGCGAGGTCTTCTCTGTCCGTACTTTTAGCATGATAGTTCTCTCAACTATATTATTACCTCTTAAGACTTGATTCAAATAGCTCTCTTATACCTTTTTTTTTTAATGTGACTGACGCTTGTTGATACCCTGGTTAATATCAGAGGTTTGGCATATTCGATCCATCTGACGAGAGAGAATTAGAGTTCCAGCCATACGGTCAAATATTGGGTGCATACATACATAACTCGCTGGAGTTCTTTAGGCGCATTAAAACCGATGGTTATTAGTACGGATATAGTCGTTGATTAGCCACAAAAGAAAACTCCGCCCAAAGGGCCACAAATTAATCAATGAAAGTCCTAAAGGTTCTGCTTCAACACAATCTTATTCTTCTATTGGAGTAGGTCAGCCACTAAAAACAGGTCTTTCACCTCATAAGCCTTTCAAGAGATTTGAGATTTTCCTCTTCCTCTGCTTCCAAGCGGGGTATTGCAACGAAGACTTTCAAAGTCAGTGCGTCTTCGTACATCCAGGCGACATGAACTAACCATCGAAGCCGTTGAACTATGTCAGTGTGGTCATATATCTTCTATAACTCATCGTTCACCGTCTCCCATCCATAGAAGACCATAAATCGTTTGATAAAACTTTCCCCGTATCATAAAGTATGTAACTACTGTAGTGATTATCGGCAGAGCTACTTCTCAAATTTGCGGTGTGCATATTAATGTTTTTCTAAAAAAACTCAATCGATCAACAGTTTAATCTAAGACGTCTCATCGAACGATGGATTTTTATGTGAAGCCCTGATTTTCATATAAAAAATGCACCCGAACGGTTTAATATTGCCTGCCGGGGAGCGTTCGGAATTCGAAAAATTATTCTTCAGTAAATTTGAAAGTTTGCTCAAACTAGGATTCGAACTTTGGTTTGCGGAATGTTAGTAGGCAATGCGAACTACACGGCTATTGTGGCCAACACTAGAACACGCATTGTTAATCCGCATTGCTAATCCACTTTCCGCCAAAAATAGATTCCAAGACAAACATAATGACACTTTGAACGAGCTTGGTCGCTTCTAGCAACCTGAACTGATCCAACACCGTGCTGAATTTAATTTTAAATGGTACTGAGAGAAGGGACTGAATTTTTTTTTGGGACTAAGTAAGCTCAGGGCTTGAAAGATGTACGCGTAAATACTGAATTCCTCTCATTTGATGACCAATTTTCGAAGAGAACTGAGTTCATTGCTTTAATAAAATAACTACCACCATTGATATGGAAGTTTTAGCCGCCGAGCAATCTCTTCGAACAATATAGTGTATGAAGGAGTAACTCTAGTTCAAAAAACAGCCTGCCACTTA